TCTATCTCATCTATATCTACATCTATATCTACATCTATATCTACATCTATATCTACATCTATATCTACATCTATATCTACATCATCTATATCATCTATAACTATATCTATATCTATAACTATATCTATATCTATATCATTACAGATTTTCCTCTCTTCCAGTAACCAAAATACAGATTTAAACTGTGAAGTTGTGCTGTAGCCTGCATGAAAGATTTTGTATGCTAAGGCTGAAGGCTCTCCAGGCACACTGAAGAGAAGGACAATATGGGACATTATTTTCCGTTAGAAGCAACCCCCAACCAATGTATAGCTCCTGTTAAGTGTCTGAGTTTGTTTGCAATGCAATGTCAATTTGTAATTGTCCCCCAGTATTCTGAAAATCCAAATGTAAATACATCTTACTCGCATCAAATTTAAATAAATGGGACCACCTTTCTCTATTTATCTTCCAGAGAAAGCTATAAATCATCATTTCCTTGATGTGTTTTCACCCCTGAAGCAACATTTATCTACATGTTTCAGTATCCAGGCAATGTCTAGGGCTTTTTTCTTCTGTTTAGCTAAAAAAAGAAATGAAAGTTTGATCCACTCAGGTCAAACAAAGGCTCCTACTGCACTGAATGTTACTGCAGATCATCCTTTTCAGTCATAGAATAAAAACACATCATCCTCTTCTCTAGGAATGACCCTGTCCCATCTTCACAAAGACTCAGATCCTCCCTGCACCAGCAGTGGGCAATTATCTAATTTGTCACAGATTAATACTCTGAATTTCTCTATCTCCAAAAAAACACTGCAAAGCTGTTCTAAAGGTCAGTTAGCAGTGCCATTTAAGGACTTGGCCATGCTCTTACTGCCAGTTCCTTAAATGGTATTTCAGCACATCTGCAGCTACACAGTGCACAGAGGGAAATATTACTTAAATGTCTGCAATTCGCACAGTCAAAAAATGTCAGTAGTTAGTCCGGTTGTTCCAAGACTTTTCTCTTCATAAAACAGAAAGGAAAAAAATACTGCTGCTGAGCTATGATAATGATCTATTCTAATTCCTGGCACCAGAACAAAGCTGAATTTTAACTCACAAAGGAGCAAGGAAAAAAAAAAGCCAAAGAATATTTATCCTTCTATTGAATGTGCTAAAATTCAAGTACTTGTTTTCCTCACTGTTTTGACAATACAGGACTTCCAGGCTTATAAACACACAATGATGTGAGAGGATTCATGATTAGATGCTTTTTTGTACCATAGAAGCATAAGCTGTATGCATCACTCTCATAACTCAAAATATATCTTTGCACAGCTTATTCCCTTATTATCCCTGAAAATTTATTTTCAGCCTCTATACTTTTTGCCTTCTTATATACAGTGAAGGTTGGTGGCTAATGTCATCACAGACTGTTCTCCTGCTTGGCAGAAAGGCTGGTCTCTTTGCAGAGGATGTGAGAACAAACACAAATCAAAGCCAACTGAAGGGTCTACCAGTCCTGTTTCATAGTACTCTGCATTTCTGTAACATATCATTGAGAAAATGACCATAGCATAAGCTCATGCATAAAGCAATGACATTTTATTATTGTTTTTCTAATTAGCATCTTGTGCTAATAAAAAAAAATTGTCATTCAGAAAAAGAAAGCACATGTCTACAGGGAAGACTGCAAATTGGGACTGTGAGAGCTACTTTTGAATTCATTCCTAGAATAAAGCACAACACCATCGAAGAGGTGACACACAATTTTCTATGCACACCAACACAATACTTTCCTCTTTTAGAATGACCCTTCTAAAAATAAGTCACATAATTGTAAATAGCAGAGAGTATTTACTTTGCAGGGGGTAGTTATGTAAACTGATAATCTGGCAAGAATTTACATACCAAAACATGTGATCGCATTGTAAGTAATGTAACACTTTTGGACTACCACTTAGCCTTCAAACTCAAAATTACACTGCTGACAAGGACTTTAAATCCTGGCAGAGCTGTGAAACACTACTTGTACCACAAATCAGAAGACAAACTAAGCACGAATAACCAAGAGCCACCAGAACTAATTCACGCCAGAGATCCATGAAGTCCCAACAACCAGTCTCCAGCTACTTTGAGAGCAAAATACAAGAGAAAGATTCATGAAATCCTGCAGAAAACAAGCTTCTTGAGACACAACATGCTTTCTTGGATTCAAAATTTTGATCCATTAAAGCTTCAGCTAATAAGAACTGACATGGTTCCAGGTTGCCAAGCAGATGGAGAAGCAGTATATTCCAGCACTTCTTGTTTTGCCAAGGTACAACACTCACCTGATGTAATGTCATGGCTTATCCCCTCCACAGAAATCGTAGCATTTGCTATTGGATTGCCCTGAAGATCTTTAACAAACCCCTTCACCCCTCGATGAATCTAAAACAAATAAATAAAGTCAGCAACATATGGGAACTCACTGGAAAATTCTTAAGATGACATTTTCATCAGTGAAGTATCTATTGATACATCTAAAGATGCATGTTTTGGATCCCACAGTCTACATATCAACAGCTATCAAGGATAAATGTAATAATGGAACAAACAGTGAAGAGAAAAAATAATTGAGCTGGTGGTTATACTAATTTCTTGGTGCAATGCATGCATTTCTCTGAAATACGCAGCAAAACATAATATATGTGAACACTGACTTGAAAGTCTTTGTTGTCACTGAGGATTAATGAATGTGCTGATAAACTCTGAAAGACAGCCTAAATAAAACCTTTTTTAAAAAAAAAAAAAAGTTTAGTCAATGTAAGAATTTAGGGCTAATAGTGGACATAACTGCTTAAAAGTGAAACATTAACAAGGTTAAATGCAGGCACTTGGACTATGATGGGCAATCACTGTGTGAGATGTTTGACCTGGGACCACACAGAGTCACAACACTCCCCACGTGGCCTGTGAGAGAAAGGCAATGGTGGGTCATGTCCCACCATCCTTCTTGCCTCTTAGGCAACACGCTCTAGACAACCGCACCAGAAATACCTAATATGTCTGTTCCTGGCATATACGAAATTAAAGCACTGATTTGACTGCAATGTTTGGAGACCAGTCCTGCTGGTATTTCTTAAGCATAGTCTGAAAGCAGACTGAGCTCCTCAGAGGCAAGAGACTGGGGAGATGCATCTTATCGGGAGCCTGGAAATTAAGCAGGGAAGTACTGTGGACTTCAGGCTTCTCTCTGATTCTGTGATATTTGAAAAGACTTGTGGATCACAAATCTTATTTTGAGATGTTTATATTCCCCTTTATGAACCTATACGGTGTATTCAGCTGCTATAATTTAGTTCACCGAATTCCTCTAATTTACATTGTGGGAGAAGCCTGACACAGATCAGCTTAGTAAAGCAGAAAGTATGTATTTGCACTGTCCTTAGCAATCATGGGGGAGCTGGAGCATAGAACTGAGCTTCTTATCCTGTAAGAGGATAAAAACCAATGCCAGATAGAACCATCTGAACTTCAAGCATAAAGCCAGCAGCTCCACAGGAGCAAAGGAAGTTGGCAAAATAATCTCTCACACATTAGTAATTTTGAAAATGCAGTGACACCATACTTTTCCATGAGTCAGAGACAATTAACCCATGTACAAAGGTGCTGAACAGTCCGAGATGGATCCCATAATAAATGGGTAAAAAGCTGCAGGGCAGGTGCAGCTTTTTCCTCAGTCCACATACACCTTACTAATAGAATGGTATAACTCAAGCATCTCAAATATTTGAGTATTTCTGGTTAACTGAAGCATTTCTGCACAAACAGGTTCTTAAATAAATTGACCAGCTCTGCTAAAAACTGTTTCTGATTTCACAATCCCAGCTGTGCAGCCATTAATGATATCAGATATATTTGTGATCTTTAACAATATCCAGGTTTCAGATATTCAATACTCCCACACTGCATTTCAGTGCAGCCTGTTGCATTAAAAAAGTAAAAAAAAAAAAAAACAAAACCAAAAAACAAACAAACAAACAAAAACCTCCACCAAAACCCAACAACAACAAAAAACCTGAAAAAGCACATAGATCTGTTTCAGGAGTCTTAACTTCTAACAACCCTTTAGCACAAGATTATCTAAACCCATGACTACATTTTACACTTCTAACCAGATTTTGTATCATTTTTAATGGAATCGTCACACTGACAGCTCTATGCTGAATATCAGCAGTTCATGCTATTGGAGAGCAGCAGAGTATCTACAAAATCAGGATTAACGATGTCCCCTGATGTTACACTGAACTGTCAGGTGGCCAGTCTAATCCACCTGCCGAGGCTCTCTCTACATCCAGAGTGAATCACCCCACATCTGTACACATACTTTCATATCTGTAGAGGGCAATCCACCTCTGCGAGTATACACACACCAGTGCTGAGGGAATGAATTCTACACTATGGTGATGTGTATTTGCTTTTCATTGAGGAAGCTGAAACAAATAATTTAAATTAAATATCTGCAACAGCTTAAGTAAGGTGAGATGAATTCCATACTGTAACATCTTCTTTCTTTTCCCCTATTCCACATATTTAGAAAGAACACCCAGAATTTACCACCTTAGAGACATATAAGAATTACGGAGCACCAATTGGACTAACGTGAAATTTTGAATGAGATGTTCACTCAGCACAAAGTTTAGAAGATTTATGTATAATAACTAGAGTTTTGCCATCTTCTTTTTTGTTACCTGCTCAATGTAATTGATAAGGGAGTTCTTGTTGTCCTCCCAGTAGCCTTTCAGAGTTTCTTCAGGTGGGAATTTTTCACAGCTAAGCTCCACTGTGATTTCAAAGCAGTTGCTGCTAAGGTAATTGAAATCCTGCATTCCTGCAATGCCAGAAAAGAGAGTTAGAGATGCATTTTGAGTTGTCCGAAGTAAACAAAGGGGGGCACATGAGATGCTGGGACTATTAAGAAAAGAATAGCAATAAATACAGTTGATGCAGCCTAGTTCCTAATTCAGAAGCTTTAAATCACAGAAACCAACATGACAATTAATTCCCCAAACCATTTTCCTCCTGAGGAAAGTTTAGAAAAGACTTGACACCTGGCCTGTATACTTCTACCTGACACTTCACCTGGCCTGTATACTCCTACCTCACAGATGTTCTTGGACAGCTAACATATCAATTACTATTTTTCTCTTCAGGAAGAGAAAATTATTTCTGATTATGGCTAAGCTATTTCCCTATGAAAGTAAAGGCTTATCACTTCGTAAGCCAAGAAGACTGACAACTAATTATGAAGCAAATGAAACTTGATAAAAGTGATCTGGAAAAAAGGGTTTACAAAGATGGGTCAAAAACATGGATTTTTTTTCTGAAAATAGAGGGTTTCAATTTAGTAACATTTTACATGAAAAGCATGTTTGCTATTCTTTGTCAAGTTTTTCTGCATAGATTCCAAATACTTTCCACCCCAAAAAAAAATTACAAAAGCAAACTTCATATAAACTTTATTTACATAGAAATTTTTCCATGGATAGGTGTATTTCCCACCCATTTAATGCCTCTTCAGAATTAATACTGGATAGTCTTCGACATAGAAGAGAAACATCATTATTAATGTAACTTTAATCATAGGACTTTAAAAATATATATATAGTAGCATCATCACTAGAAATAAAACTTCATGGGAAAGATGCACTCTCTTACATTTCTGATCCCCTCCTCTTACTACATGGAAATATTGTCTATTTTCTTGAATCAGTCAACTGATAACCAAAGCAGTTTCCAGTTTTGTAACTGGATCAACCAGCTGGAGAGGGACTGTGGCTGTCCCCAGGAGGGTTATAAACACATTCTTTGTAGAAGCTGATGTAGAATTAGCTCTTGCCTTTCCAGCTAGCAAAATCAGTGGATTCTCAAATGGAGGACTGAAAAGAAAAAGGTTACCAATCATTTTGAGCATCCCCATGGAGGTCACTGAGGGATTTAAAAGTGCTTCTTCAAACACAGCTAATACCTATGTTCCCCCATGCAAGCTACATACGAGACTTAACACAGTGACTTTACCGAAGCACCGGTGTTGTGCACCGGTCCAGAAATGTCCAGAGAGCTGATGTCACATCCAAAGAGAACACCAAAGGCAACAGATTGAGTAAGGTGGGATTTTGCCAACATATTAGGGTGAAGCTATTTTCTGCCAACAAGGCAACAAGACTTTGAACTAATGATAGGAGCAGGGACTTTGCAGATTCCTAAAAGAACATTTTTACTTCTAAGTCTTTTTTAGATGTCTGAAAAGTGAGGACACAGAAGGCAAAGGTACTCCTGGGAGGGACAGCTTTGATGTCCCACCAGGCAGAATGCAAGACAGGCCATTCAGCAGTACACAGCGAGAGAGCAGTGGAGTCATGAGTAAAATCCTGACACCAGGCATCTGTTCAAGACACTAGATAATGTTGTTTTTCTTGATTTTTTGCCTTTCTTCCAGAAGAAAGAATGAATAAATGAAGAGGAGAGTGGGGAGCCGAAGGGCATGATGTAATTTTACTGTGGTGCCAACAACTCTTGTCCACTACTGCTCCAATTTTCTGGAAGTTTCTCCCACCCCCTCACCTCCCAAAGCAAGGTGATACACAGGGATACCCTAGTTTCTCAAGGACATAATAAAGAAGCAACATATTTTCCAGTTTTCTGCACAATGTCCATATCCTATAGTTTGTTTTCCAGCTCCTGGCTGAACTTATATGTGTTGCTCCTGTAAAAATTCAGTTTGTGTCACTGAGCTACAGATAACGATCTGAATCTCTAGGATGGAGAATGGGGTGAAGATAACCTAGATCTAAACTGTGGCCTACTACATCTGTAATCTGGAAAGCATAAGGCTGACTACAAACAATCTGAAGTCTTTACCTGCCTGTTCAACATGGTGATAAGGTGCAATATCCAAGAAATCAACACATTTCAAGAGATTTATTCAACATTATGGCAACTTTGCTGCCACTGGTCAAGCTCTCTAACTGCCCTATTCCTTCTTGTTATGCACATGGCATACATCACACGTGCCACCTACACATCATATAAAATCCTGAAAAAAATTACCTAACATTGCTTCTAAAACCGGTAACACGAAAGGTAAATGAAGTTAGGAACAAACTGAGTGCCAAGAGTGATTTGAGAGTATCTGAAAATAAAACAACACTTAAACAATAGCCTAACAGTATAGCAATGTAAGCTGCTTTGAAATGCTATTTTTGTAATGACATGAATCTGATTAGACTCAGGTAACTCTGTAATGACAGAACAAGCAGAACAGGCATGTGGCTAGCTAGTATTCATTGCTATCTGCTCTTCTCATTTATATTTTCAAACAGATATTCCACACAAAAAGGTACATTAAAAAAAAAATCAATGTTAAAAAAATTAGGTAGTCAACAGCTAAGGAAATGCCAAAATTAAAGCTGTTTGTGCAAATTTAATTTATCTCTCTTGTGCATAAACAAAATCATTAATTACACACTGATAAGGTGAGGACCAGTGTTAAAAATAGCACGGATTTTATGTACATGCTTGTTTTTCCCCACGGTCTGGTGGCTAAAAGGGCTCTTCCTGAACACAGAACAACCTCTTTGCCTTTGCTTACTGCTCTCTGAAAAACCTACAAGGATCAACTAATTACAGATGGCCACTAATACAAAGCAAGTGTAACAGGCATCATGGTCTCATATTTAGCACAAAGACACTGTTGGGGAAGCTATTTTTTCTGTGCCCCTGCTCCACAGAAGAAAGTAACTACTAAGCAGGTAATGGTGAGAAAAACCTCACAGCTAAGTGTAAGAAGACCTGGAAGCAAGTGTCATATATTCCTGTACATCATCTGCTCTCTCTACCTCAAAAACTAAATGGAGAATTGCCACTTTGTCTGAGGTTATGAGGAAATCCTGAGGTTTGACAAGAGGGAAGGACAGAACATAAACGCAACAGAGACTTCGTCCTTACTTCCAGTTTGAGACAAGGGTTGCTGCCAGACTTTTCTGCCACGTTTCTGTTCAACCTTCCTAATGAAAGAACCCAGGTATTCAGAAGAACATATGCAAAAGCAACACAGCAAGAGAGCCACCCATATATTGCACTCCATGAACCAATGAAGACAGCTGCTGGCCCACCGTGTAGTGTTGTCTTTTACAGAAGGCAGAAGTTCCTTTGGGTGAATGATACGAGCAAAGAAATTGATGCTGCACAACTGGGGGCACCATAATAAGCTCTATAGAGCAATAGCAACTTTAGTAATTATTAGAAAGAAAAATCAGCCTTTCCTAGGTCAGAGTTCTTGGTCTGATGAGGTACTATACAAGGCAGCATCTAGGACAGACCACAGCCTGTCACTTAGCTCAGCTGTCCTCTACTGTCTCCTTTTTCTTTCCCTCACCACGACTCTGCTAAAGCTGTGTGCTCCTTTCTACACCAAACATAGCTCTAGTACCTGCTCTCACCTATTTTCTACCTCTATTCTCAGTCACTTTGCTCCACTTCTCCTCCTTTCTCTATAAATCTGCGGCAAGTCCTCCTTCATTTTGTTTCCGTTCAACCCAGGGAGATCAGGCAGGGACGCGAGTTTAACCTGTAGATGCCCAGAGGACACAGAGGTACTCTCACATCCTCTTGCAGGACCCAGAACAGCCCACAGCAACCCAGAGGTTCAAAGGCAGAAAAGCAGCACCTTAGCTCTGAACCAGAGCAGATGCCATGCAGACAAGGTCTTTGGAGAGTTTCTCTGATAAATTCTGAACTCTGGTAAGGATATACAATGAAATACTTTTCCTAAATCAATACAAATGGCTTTTCAATATCTTACACCACTGCTAACTTTGAGTCCATTATCATACAGATAGAAAAATAGCACTGATACCACAGATAATTTAAATGCCACATTTCAGTTTCCAGACAGAGCTCTTCAGAATAAAGCTTCCAAGAAAATTTTCACTTGAACCAAGCAATGTTTAGTTATTTTCCTTAGCACTAGACATGGAAACAACAGAACTGTTTCTGCTGAATTATTTTTGTTTTTTTAAGTCAGCCTGTGGCAAATATTACCATGGAGGTTTTGTTCAAAAGTCACAGCTTGCCAGCTGATTTCTACACTTGGAAAAAAAAAAAAAACAAAACAAAAACAAAAAACCAGATTCATGCTGTACTGTCCAAAGGATATTGTCACCACTCTATTTTTTTATTATTTCTACCATATTAGGATCATAGATCCCTGTTAGAACTAGGATTCCTGTCTACTAACTTCTGTACAAATACAAGAGAAAAAGAAAGGGTTCTCTTGGGGAATTTGCAGTCTAACTTAAAATAAAATCCAAAAGGAGGAAATAATTCAAACTTTCCAACAAGTTTTTCCAATGGAAAAATATGCCTTTGGCATGTGCAGTTTAGTCAGAATCAAAGCCTGTCATCAAAACAATGGAAAGATTGTTTTTTATAGCATTTTCTTAAGGAAAAAGAAGCTGAAGTTAAAAATGTCCATATTTTTATGGTTAATACTTAGTATTTCATTAAGATAATTTTTGGACTAAATTTAAACAAAATTTAACTATTAAATATCTCAATATTTTGTTTATATTCAGCCTTTTTCAAATTATGCAAACTCTGTTTTGTCAAGGGTGTTTTAATGGTTCCAATCTGAAGTCTGTGGAAAGCTTCACACAAAGAGAAATTGTTACTTCTCAGTTATCTTCAGAAATGTCAGCTTTTCCCCTTACAACCAGTCCCTGGTACCTATAGTACAGAGGAAACTTGCTCCTCCTGTAAAGATTGGGAATAACTGCTCTAAGTTTAAGCAGGTAATTGCTGGCTGTGTGAGCACTACCAGTCATTCTGCTTCTAATTTCTTCACACAAGCTTAATTATTTTCCTTTTCTATTACTCCCTTTACTGTAACAGCAGCAGAATGCAGCTACCACCTAAGCTGTACTAACACATTGAGAGGTTCCTACTTACTCCAGGTAAAAATTTTAAATTCATTCAGGGACTGTAAATTGAATACTAAGAAGAAAGCAAACAATAGAACTGGTATGTGTTCAAAGTTTTCTGGTACAAATCAACAGAGCCAATGCACAAGCAAATCGCTCCGACTCAAGATGAGTTTCTGGCTCACAAATCCCCAGCTCAGTTTTCACTTTGAAGTTTTGTCCGAGTTTAGCAGACACAGAAGACTCAAAAATTTAGATATCCCAATACCTTTCTGCCTCAGTTTACAAATAAAATGACATCAAAATTCTTAGTAAAAGGAAATCTCACATTTTAGACTACTCTTCTAGACTTCTCCTGGAAAATTAGTGTTGAAGTGGCCATAGTAGCTCTGCTGTTCATCTTAACACAGAAGGCTCTACCAAAGTCTAGGGCAACACTACTTGGGCAGGACTTGGGCACTAATTAAGTCACAAAGTATGGATATGCAAGTATCTTTGCGGCTGGATTTTGTTCCCATGGAAATCAAAGGCCAAACTCCCATTGTCAATAACATGGCAAAATCAGGCGCCTCCACCTCTTTCAGGGGTGGATGCTTTCATTATTGAGGTTAAAATGAACAGTCAGTAGCCCGCTCTCTCTCATCAGGGTTTGCTAGGAGATTCTCTACTCATTTTTTTAATTAAAAAAACCTCTTAAGCTCTCATAATAGCATAGCAATCACTCACCCACTGTAGAACTAGTAAATTTGCAAACCCTGAGTGGAGAAACACTGTATAAAAAGCAGTGAAGGAGGAATATTTTATTAGGCATCATGATGAGCTTTATGGGATTGTGTTGTGGTGTTCCTTCTCTGATATAGCCTTAACTGGACCAAAAGTTGTGAATAACCTGGTGGTATTCCAGTCTGTAATTAAACCAGTGAAAACTCAAGCTTAAAACAACCACCAGTGACACTGAACCCACACACCATGGGACTCACCTCCTGGGACACTGTACCATGCGCCACCATTAGTTGTTCCATCCACAAAGCTGCTGTCATCGTCATTTTTACGACATGGTGGTCTGTTTGGATCGGACATAGCGGGATTAAAAGAAGAATAACTGCGAGCCAGGCTTTGAAAGATAGCATCATCGGGGCAGGAGCTGTATTCATGAGCACTGCCTAGGGAGGAAAAAAAAGTCCAGGAACAAGGATTATTAAAAGTGCAGTCATACCGACTGGGCTCACAACCTAGATTACCAGCCCTGCACAGCAGGACCGTGCCTGAAAATTCTCTGTACATGGGTAAGTGTCCTACAGCATCACAAATTAATACAGCATTATCTTAATAACATTAACATTTCCCTAGTACTTCATCAATTGCCTGTACCAACTTGCCCCATTATTAAGGTGACTATCAGTCCTAATAGTTATGAAAATATTAATTTCAAAGTGCACCGCAAAATCTAAGCTATTCTAGGCTTTAGATATCTTCTTAGAAGAACACACAGTACATAGAAAAAGGTCTCTCTCCAGAGTTTTACAGTCTGATATTAAAAGAATTTGCAGTTAAACTGTGAGAAAGTATATTGAAGGAAGATAATCACAAACAATACAATCATCTCATGACCATTTCAGTCATGTGCACATCCCCTAGTGGCAGAAGAAACAAACTGATACTGCTGTGTGCTAAATTATAATATCTATGCCACAGTGTGATCCCTTTTATATGGGACCAATACTGAGAAAGTGGAAATAATGGTAGTTGTTTTTATCAGCACACTACCACTTCCAGAAATTTATTTTTTAAAAGTGCGAGTAGAGAAACCTTAAATCATACAGGCAATCTAGACACATATCTCTTGTTTCACTTAACAGGGCACAAACAGGCCCAGCTAATATAACTGCTAAATCACCTTGATCAAAATATCTGAGGGACCATCATTCCCTCAGGTATTACATCATTTTTATAATGTAACTCTACTGAAACAAGCTATCTATCTTCAAAACTAGAAAACATGGCCATAGAGAGACTAGCTTTATATGTGATTAATATGCTAAAATAAGTCATTACAAAGCCATGACATGATGTTTACAAAGTGGATCTTCAGTAGCACTGAAATAAGTATAGAATGCAATTTGTATCTCCTACTATTTCATGTTAAATTCTATTACATACCACTCCGAGTCTCATCATAAGGATAGTTTGCAACAAGGTCTCCTCCATGAAGATTGGCAGAGAGCACAAAGGGAATATCCATAATCCAGTGAATGACACCTTTCGTTTCAGGAGCAAGCTACAACAAATAGCATTACCAGCAGTTAAAAATTGATAATTCAATGTAGAAACATATTCAATTATATATAGTGGGCTTAATTATTATCACATATATTGTACAAGACATTTAAACAAACAGCAATTTTATTTTGGCTTCAGAGAGAATGGAAGCAGTCCTTTATACCAGAACTAGTCTAAATAGATTAATGTAGGTCTAAAACAGGTACAAATTAGTTCGGAATGAGATGAAAAAAAAGCCATCTTCTGCTTCTGTCCCATTACAGCTAAAAAAAAAGCCTACCAAATTTAAGACCACAGAAAATAAACTAATTCAAAATAAATGTTGGCAGAATGCAGTCTATTCTCTGCATAGAAAGTAAAATTGCTTCATTTAATAATTTGAAATTGAAGACAGAATATGGATGGCTATTAAGGCCACAACCCTATGAGACTGCAGTCACAACACTATATTTTCTAGAACCTCCTGTGGGGGTAAACACAAGCAGATGAAAATCCTTCCAGATGTACACCTGTATATTTAAGGCTTCAGCTTAACAAAAATGCATGTGTTATATGTAAGAATAACTATCTAGCCAGAAATGTAATAAAGTACAAGACACAGTGAATTTCTGGCAATGGTAAAAATGCAGAATATCTGAAAGAATAGCTTCAAACCAAGGGAGAAGGCTATGCAATCCCTGGCCTTAAAAATAAAACATGCTTTGAACGAGGAAATGTCTAAGGATTAAGCAATGTGGATCAAAAGGGTTTACTACAGCAAGCCATTTTGGGAAGAAATTCAGGAAGCACCAGACAGATAAATTTAACAAAATTAATAAAATATTTAGAAGAATGTGAATCGTAAAGACCATGCACACAGCTTGTAGAGGTTGCTACTTGTCTGCTTGGGTAAAAGGAAAGAGAAGGGCATGTAAGTGAACCAATATTCAGTCCCTACTTACCTTAGGATTCTGGTCCACAGCTTTTTTCATGTTTTTCAGCAGATGGTTGTTTGGGCCACCTTCTTTCTCATTAACATAGACTATTCTATCAAGATCAGGGAAATTCCGGTTTAGATCTATCCCTTGGGCATTACTTCGACCAACAAACCAGTCTTTAAGTTCACCGGGCTGAAGGAGGAAAGGAAACAGAAAGAAGGGAGATGAGTAGAGTCAGAAAATTACATGTCAAGCTTCATATGGGTATATTTAGGCATGTAAATTCAAATCATGGGTTTACTTCTCATGTTCTCAAGAGTAAGAAGGGATCATGTGGGAGTAAAGAATCCTAAAACACCAGGAGCTGTCACCCCTATTTCTTCCTAGAGCTCTGGGGGAACAAAACAAACCTATGTTTCCCTCAGCATCTTGGAGGAGAGGATCATTCTCATAGTGGCAAATCTGGACTTAGGATGGGCAAAATTACCAGCAGCATCAGATTTTTCAGTGCCTGCTGAATCTTCCCCTGAGAACTGACTTTTCCCTCTTGCCTCATGCCCATGGCTGCGAATTACAGACCTCATTTTAGTGAGCCCAGAGCAGCTGTAGGTTTATCAGCCAACCATAAGGAAGCTCATTTCAAAGTTCCTCTAAATAGCTCCAAGGTAAAGAAGGACTTTAATCTTTATTTAGCTGAGATTTTTCTTTTTATGGTGTCTGTCAGTTTTTTCACTGAAATGGTACCACTGAATAAAGCAGCAATGAGAAACTTTGCAAAATCTGTTCTTTAAGCTGATTCTCTCAAATAGGTTTAGGGTGCATTAAGGAAATGCCTTCAGAGCACATAGTTTTCCCTAGCTTGTCTCTAAAAGCTTTCAGTACTCTTTAAAGTAGGTTAAGTTTGATTACTGGTTTTAATCTTGGGGTATATTGAATCTGTCACACACTGTGTGAAGATCAAAATACTTCTAAATTAGAATAACAGTGGCACTAAAGCAAATTGTATTCTAAATCATATGTAACTTGTAAGGCAACCATGTAGAAGCAAGTGTACTTTGATTAAGGAGCAAAAGTTCCAAACAGTATTACAGAATCTCTACAGAGAGATTTCAAAGTAAAATACTGCGCCAATTTGAGGACAGCTGCTTCACTGCCACGAGAGGGAGACATACGACCAAATATTATTTAAAAGAAGTCGAGGTTTTTTTAAATACTTCATAAGAATCAGTTTAATAAAGATCTTAATAAGGTTTGACTTATTTAATCATAATAAATAGCCACACAAAAAGGTTCAACAATTCCAGATTGATTTAAAAAGTAAATATACCTTGTAAAACAAGAACATTCTTATTTTTGTTTAGAACATAATACACACCAGAAACTATATCTAACAGGGTCCTATTTGGCCTCTATTTGCTAATTATGCATTAACACATTACATGATTCTTTATTGAGTCTTCATCCTAAAATAAGTTTTAAAATTTCTTGACTAATAGCTTCATTAAAGTACTTCATGCCTGAAATTTAGTATCAAAGTTATTCATATTAATGAGATGGTTCACAGAGTTTGCTTGTTTTGGGATCATGCTCTGATGATTATGAAAAAAATCATATAAGTGCATTTACATGAGAATATTCTTACAGGAAACATTAACTTTCCCCTTTCTACCACTTTTGAAACATCATGTGTTACTAGAAATTACTTGTTTAGGAAGCAGTTTGGTCAATGAACTTAAAGCATATGCATGAACTTAAACATCATTGTATTTTAAAATACAGTGAACACACAAGAGAGACAGCTATTTCTTGAAAACTTAAGCATGAAATCCTCCCTGTTAAACAGAACAAGCCTACTGAACTATTAGGAAATACTTCAGTCATGCTGTTCCATTCAACAATGACCACCAAGAGTTCATGTATATGTAAAACTGCTAGTCCAAGTGTTATTATGATCCTAAGGTGGATACAGACATTGATAACTATTCTTATATACATAGCCTTACAAACCTGGGATGCTGCCTTCTCAAAGCCATCTGGGTTCAAAGAGGGCATGATATGGATACGTGTGCTATGGATCAAGTTGATAATAGTTTCATTTCCTTTCTGGTATTCATTACACAAGTACTGAGCCAAGAAGATGAGCAACTCCCTTCCAACAGCTTCATTCCCATGCATATTCCCAAAAAAAAAAAAAAAAAAAAAGACATGTTTTAGAACAACATAGAAAAACCACCTATGGACTGGATCACACAGCACACCTGAGATGTGAGTATCACTATTACAATGGGTCACAGTATCCCCAGGAAGCTACAAGCCTCCTTCAGAAAAGTAGATTCAGATTTTTTTCTAAACTCTAGCTGAACAATTAGTAGTTTATATTCAGCTGTTTGCCAAACGCAGAGAAAGAACAACAGAGGATAACAAAGTATGCAAAAATAAATGCTAAGGACTGCCATTAACATTACTACTGTTGAGATCTAATGCAACTGATGCCTCAAAGACTATCTTGATCAGCTTTTTAAATATATAAACTGACACTAACAGAGCTTCTTACCTTTAATGTTCTCTCCAAGATTAGGTTAAGGTTATCACACTATACATACATTAGACTGCAATTATTTTACTAAAGCATTGCCAGTGAACAGCTGTTGATCCTAGTGATCTGAAAAATCCTATTTAGCAGGTGGTTTGGATAGTCAGCTAAACTTTACAAAGCAAGTTTAATAACCCAACATATAAAATAAATTATTCCCACTTAACATTCCAATAAACTGTGCAATGTTAAATATATATTAAAATAAATATTAATATATATTAATGTGAATATATTAATGAATATATGTATGGGAAGTTTAAGCATATATTTAATGTTGACTTAATATATATTGCATAGTCATACACAATATTTGATATGTAATATATATTCAATATATATTCTATATAGAGAAAATTTATATAAATAAGTAATCCAATATTCCCAGTTTTTAATTAGTCTCATTCTCATGACCATGGACATAAAAAACCACACAAGATATGCCTTACAGAGCTGTGAAGGATTTATATTTTAAAAGACCACATTGTGGTCCCTAATTCCAGAGAGGTTTTACTATACAAGCAAATATCTATGACATTAAAAGGTTTGTCCTGAAATTAAAATTAAGAATATGCTGTTTTCTGGGTTCAGACTCATTTTTACTTATCTTTCTTAAATGCAGTTCTGTTGTAACAGCTTTAATCAAACATTATGCTGTTTATATTCTCTGAACAGTCTTTGAACACACTTTGCAAAAGCCTTTAGCACTTATCACAGGCACAAATTCAAGCCAAGAGTGTTACACAAATGAGACCTAAATAATTGCTAATCAAGCATATGGCCGCATCAACTTAAAACTCTTCAGTCAGTGCTTGTCAACTTTAATCCAGTGGTAAGATGCTAGCGGACACAATGCTACTAATACCGTGACTTCTTTCTTTCCAGCTAAAATGGTTTTGTACATAAGGATTTGTCTCCAAAATTTTTTGTCAGATAGGTTAAAAATTTTCTAGTTTCAGAAGTGGCTTCATTTTATCTGATTGACACAATGACATTATTGTAACTAAAAACCTCCATTTCCTCTTTTGACACTAGCTCCTATTTACTGTTTATTCCTATCTGTTAATACCAGGGAGTGCAAGAGGCCTAATTATCAAGAGTAATCAGACTAGGCAATCAACCCAATCCCATTAAAACGGATGGATGCTATTTAATAAAATACGCAGCACATACACTCATAATTAGAAAACTCATGCATACGTATATTTGCATGTTACTTATGGGAAAAGTGCTTCACAAGCTAACAGGCAAATCTGTTACTGTGGTAAATATGAACACAGTTGCATTTTGCATTTGTGATTTTCCCTAGGACATCACTAAGGAAGTCTGAGGGAGAAATAATTTCTCCTGATTCCCAGCCCTGTGTATTAATCACCTACCTTTCTCTCCCACTTGAATTTTACAGACTTGGTTCAAATGAAAAATAGAAACATATGTTTCCCATTGGGTACTGCTTGGCCCCCTCCCCAGAGAATCATTAACAGTTTTTGGAAGGGTTCATGTAAACAACCACGGAGTCTATAGTGAACCAAGAGTACAGCCTCATCTACAGCATATCTTCAGTGGTAATGACCCATCCCAAATGAGCATTAAAGGAGTTAAAAGGAGTTCAGGAAAAGGTAAAGAGAGTAATTGGAAATATGGAAAGTCTTTCCTATGAAAAGTGATTCAAGAGATCAATCCCCTTTTTTCTTAGGAAGAATAATAAAGAACAGTCAAATATGCCGACCATTATGGCATGGAGGAATTGATCTGGAAAGCAACACTTCCCTACACCGCAAGAGACAGCCATTTCCAGTGAAAGGGAACAATGACTATTTTTGGACTGATAAAGGAAAATAACATTACTTATAACACAAAGTGTGAAATCAGCATTCAAAAAATCCTCTTGGCAAGTGAGGTGTCAGCAGAACTTCAAGTTTTGCTAGCAAACAAAGAGTTTAAAAACTGATCTAAAAGTGAATGCAAAAGAATGGAAAGAAAAGAGAGAACTGAATAAGACCCACTTCAAAACTTTGTGTTCGTATTTTAGCTCCACTAGGCATTTTCTTACACCTTTCTCTGAAGCAAAGAAATCCATCTCCTATAGATCCTCTGGCTGCAGAGAAGGCGGCTGCATGATCCGCATGTGTGGGAAACCATTCTCTGCCAGCCCTCAGCCCTGTGCACTTTCTTACTTCTGGGCACAGAAATCAAAAAAATCCTGGGTTTCTGCTTAGTATCAGAATATATTAAATTTCAGACTGTATCCAAAAATTTTAGGGAAGCTCTTCATCATTTCAACAGTGTAATAGTAATTTAAAAGAACAATTGAAAAAATGGATCTTTCTCATATCTAAACTTGGCAGCTGCTTCAAGGGAAACAAACTCTATTTTTTCTGTTTATTTCAGCTGAAACAAATTAACACTACAAGCTGTCTGGGGAGGGGGGGGGTTGGAATTAGGAGTTCACTCATTAGCTGCCTGTGCTCATCAGGGGCAAAGTCAGGGAATCCATTCTGGAAAAAGGAACAATGCTGCTCAAATCATTAGGTATCATCACAGTGCCCAAAAAGCTCAGGGAGCTTCCACAGGCTACTATCTGCTGATACAACTTTGCAGCTAATAAAGCCCTTAATTCGCATTAGCATTTCTGCCTTTCCTGTTAGAATAAAAACTGCAACTCAGGGTATACCTTCCAGAAACCTTTTTTTCTGAGGCTAAATTCTCTCTTAATCATCTTTTTCTCTAGAACAATGAAGTTCAAGCTGGGGGGCAGACTGCTAGCTGAGGCTGACAGAAAAACGCCCATCACTGTTGGCTGAGTTGCCCGAGTTCTAGTGAATGACACTGTGCTGAAGCCCACATCCCAGGCCCACTACAGCTCCCAGAGGAACCAGCTCCTTCTCCTCCACTGCATGGGCTAACACAGGTACCTCAAACCTGAGGATGCCAGCCATCTGGCCCTTAAGCCTTAACACTTTGTGGGTTCCCTGGTCTATTCATTGAATATGTCCCGCTACACCATTTCTATGAGCTTCAGGCTCCTCTGGAAAATAGCTCCCCTCATGGGGAAAACAGCCTTCAGTCACCTGTTGCTAGCATGCTACTTAGCTAAAGGAGGAGCTGCTCTTCCCATCAAACCTTCAGGAGTCATTTAATGCAGATTTTAATCACCCTTCACAGGATTCTGTAAATGCAATTACCTGATTTTTTTTTTTTTTTTAATGACAAGACTCTGTAAATGTCAATTTGATTAACAACCTTTAAACTGCTTCTTGAAACCAGTAGAAACACTTCTGTTCCACTGCAGAAGTGGAGGTAGCTTTAAGGGAGAAGAAGCCTGAAGAACATAATTGGCTTTTCTCATTTATTTGACACCCACAAAAAAGTAAAATTATTTTAATGGATTCCCATGGTCCAAGATACGATAAACACAAAGGAATATTTCTGTTGGCTGAATATTTAAAATTCTTATTTAATTAATTTTATTACATTTCTGATGCTGTATCTTGACAAATTATAACCTCCCATTCGCAATAACCAAAGTATGTCTTGTGTAACAATGCAAGTATGATGTTTATAAATGCTTACATGTAATTTCAGCTCAGACACCAAGGTTTGTGATAACGAATGAATGAGTGGATACTAGCATCTTTTGGGGCAAGTCATAAGAAATGAAATGCAGCAATCAGGTTTATAAATACCTTAGTATCTCTGGTGAATCCTAAGTCATCACATCATTATGGCTTTTAGAAAGCTTTTACATCCCTCTTAGATTGACTATGTGGTATATTACAACCTCATAAACGATTGAGGAAAATGTATTTTAAAATATCGTGCCTGACAAACATTGTGAAATGTCACCATTTGCTTCTGCAGTTACTGTCAGCTAAGGTCTTCTGCAGTTTCCTAGGAACAGCATGTACATCATTAAAATTAGACAGGTCATCCAATTAAGCATGACTAACCACTGCCATTTTCAGGTCAGGTTGTATTTGTAAAGTAAAGACAGTAATTTTTTAAAATGTAGGGACAAAAAGTTTAGCACCTACTAATTATATATACTATGAGTCAAGGTAATGTCATGCCACTAGTCATGGTCTAATGTCAAGCAGTTAACCTTAAAACGTACAGTATTTCACCCATGGAAGTGCAAGCCATATGGCAGAAAAAAAAACCAACCAAAAACTACTGGAAAGTTTAAGTGCTTAATGAACTGTTTTGCAAATCAGCCTCAAATACCCTTAAAAAACAGAGTCTTTCTTCTGCTTTCCTGTATTCCTTATGGAAACCCAGCAACGTTCCTGAAATAACAGACTTAGTGTTTTTGATTACTTACAGTTGCTTGTCATTTTTAATATGGCAACCAGTAAACTTTTATTGTAGATAAATGGCATGGAAAATCTCAGAATCCCCGCTGGCAAGAAATTCATTCATTGAATGTGATTGAATACTTTCTTATGCTCCACATTTTTGTTAGTAGCTTAAAGAAATTTTTTGGAGATCAACTACATGGAAAACCAAAGCTTATAAAAGGGGTTTCTCCTTTGAATATGAAAAACATAAGAGAGGGAAAGAAGAAAATAAATGAGGTGATGAGATAGGGACGTGAAAGAATTAGAAAATTTAGATTTCTAACACCCTGTAAACTAAATGTCTGCAGCCTGCCTCAACAGTATTTCAATACGAATGTTGACCTCCACAACTTGTGCAAAAACAGCACTGAAAGATAGAACTGCAATGCAGTATTATTTTCTATATCATTGTATAGGCCTTATATAATTTTAGGGCAACATTTACTAAGATGTAGCATTGGTCTAACCTTGTGGAAACTACTGGAAGTTTCACAGGTGGCTTACATGAAAGCAGAAAGGGGTCAACACTGAAGGCCTTTGAAAAATCCACTTTCACTTTCTTGACATTAACTGATAGAAAATACACTGAGAAGAAAACAAGAGGAAAAGAAAATCAAGGATCTTTTGGCAACCTCATGCTTTAAAAAATGCAGGCATTTTTTAACATCTATGATTCAAGAGTGGTTTCAACCTCTTTCTGGAAATTGTCATAATTATTTGAATGCTACTGCTTAAAATTAAAGTTAACAACAAAGTCTGTAGAGCACATTGGAGTGCAAGCTCACTAAGAACAGCTATGTTTCTGCTGGCCTTGACATGTACAAATTCAGATGTGATCTCCATTCTACTGAGTACAAAGTCTGTCAAATCAGCTTCAAAATAGGATCTTGTATGTCTCTGCACTGGAAATTAAATTCTCCAGACAGATTACCTCATGCTCAAGACAGTTATTTCCACTAAAAATGTTCTGCATGACTCGATGCTTTCTTCAGGTTTTCAACAGCCCACTCTCACCCCGGCAGCTACAGGACTTGGCACTGCCTCCCACCACAAGTGGGCAAAGCATCTGCTCAGCTCCTGCAGTCCCCACCTACAGCTCTCTGCTGGCACATCCCTATGCTGATCTTTCCACAACACCCTGTGCTTACACTGAAGTAATACACAGTATTTCAAGTAAAGCCCCCTTGCTTTATCAGATAGTAGAACGTTTTTTGCCTACTAGATTTGTGTTACTGTGCAAACTGATGCTGCTCTCCAATAGAACTGATGATGACTCTTTAAATCATAACAAGTCATTTTAAAAGCAAACCAAGTTTACTTATTTCATCAAAACCTTTAACTTAATAAGAAACACTGAAACGTGATATGCACAAAACCCTCATTTTGAGTAAATGTATTAAAAAGCTCTCCCTGATGTTCAAAGTAGTTTTTTAAAAATTACCAGAATTTTAGAAATAACAAATAACCATCTATATATACAACTGGATTAGGTAGTTTTACAATCAATTGCATTTTTCATGCTCTAGGCAAACTGAATAGGACTTTACATTTAGAGACAGTATTACAGCAGCAAGTATCATTAGCTGATCATTGAAGATGAGGTTCCTAAGAAACCAAATGTGAAATGAACTGTCCTGAACCACCATCACCAGTTTATGGCAGAGTACAAGACAGGTACAGTTTTTTCACCTCTCAGTTTTTGCTCACACTGCTAGGAAAAAATCCAGACCAAAACAAATCCTGGGTTTCATTGTGAAGGACACAGGAAGTACAGAGATACCATGAGAAACTCTTTGTCCACTGTGATACTGGCTGTGGTATATAACAGATTCAATTCACTTTTCCACTGTGCTCAGTAAGAGAGGGAGCTTTTCCATTTATAACTATGTGTGACCAAGTGAATTTTCATTTCAAAGGCACTCACTGTATCCCTGAAGTTTTGGTTGGCATATAGAGCAAAGATTTTCTTTTTTTTTTAATCCATCGATTCCTCATTGAAATAGACCTCTGATGAAGAGAAAGTTGATACATAATTTAGATGTGTATTATGATGTTTCCTTATCAAGTTCACTCAATGACTTTTCTCTCTTCAGCAAACTCTAGAATCCTTTTTTTCACTTCAGCTATGAAAGTACTTGTCAGCCATCAGAGCACTTCAAATGGACTGAGCTTCTCTATCTCACTCCTTTTGAATGTAACAAATATATGGCAATTTCAAAGCTAAACTAGTTCAAACACCTGCTGCCAGGAGAAGACATATTTGGGCTCAGCTTTTATTTCTTCTCTTCATGAAATGAGGATGAAGAAAAGTCAGAAATAACCAGTTTATATCCAAACTCTAAAGATAAAGAGGTAGGCAGAAATGCTGGACAAATAAGGTGAAGAAAGAGAAGTAAGCTCTTCCTTTTTACTGAAAACAAACAAACAAAAAGTCAATGAAAATATATAAATAATTCTTTCCCAGTAAGTTATACGGGCCCAATTCCACATTGCCATGTGGCTTCCAACTGCCAAATGGGTGGCCAAAAGCATGTAAACACAGACAGCGATTTCCAGGCTGGAAACAACAGGTGCTGTGATTTCCCCAGCAGTGCCCAGAGCAGAAAGCACATCGGAAGAGCTCTAGCTGAGGGAGTAAAGTCAGGCCAGGGTTCCCCTTCTGTAGCATCGTGCCCCAGTACTTGCTGCAAGGCCATGTTTCAGGAGAAAAGCAAGCTGGGGCCGCTTTCAGGGATATGCTACCTTCGGTGCCCAGGCTGCACCAGCGTGTGCAAGGGAAGCACACTCACAAAGTTCATCTTCACCTAGAAAAACTCTGCATTTTTCTCTCCACAGAGGAGAGAGATTTCTGACTAAAAAGGATTAAAATTCCCTTCATGAGGACATTCTGGGTCCCCAAGAAAAATATTTTCTGTGCCTAAGGATCTAGGAATAATTAGTAGTAAGCCACCAGACTTCCTCCCTTGATTTCCAGGAGACTTTCTGAGGCATTGCAATGGCACCTGTTACTCTACTGCAGCTACATTTACTGGTAACTGGAACATTATTTCATTCCACTGCTGTTTTGTCACAACCTGACTGTGAGAAAAAACCTGTGGGCTGCAGATCTATGATTCAGACAGATGATGCTGAAGTGCATTGGCCATTGCTAACAGTTGGAGAGGGATAAAATCTCCCCCCATAAATGTACATCTGTAACAAGACAGCATAAGAGTTTCTTCTGCACTAGCATATTTATTTTGCTTCCCTTGCTTATATGAGCCCTAATATTTATTGATCTTAACTTCTTGAGTATTGGTTATGGAGTTTACAGAGTTATAAAGTGCCCTTTTAAAATAAATTACAGTAAGAAAGACATAGGCAAACTGCAAAGCTAATTATGCTGTTACCTTGCTCCTTTGTGGAAAAAAACACGAAAGATTGACTTAACAAAGGACACCATTCACGTCAGAACATAAACAACATGATTTACGTCAATATCCTCAGAAACCAACAAATAACCAAGTAGCTTCTTTTAGGCATAATATTATTTTAGCATCACCCTTTTGGTATAAATAATTTTTAAAAACATGATTTCATCATTTTAGAAGTTGGGGGGTGGG